TATGTTGTCATAAACCCACTGCCATGGAGTCGGTTCTGACTCATAGTAACCCTCCATCAGGCTCTGAAGCGGCAAATCCTTCTGAGAGGAGGCTGCCCATCTTATTCCTGAGGGGTGGCTGGGATTCAAACTGACACCTTTTCAGTTGGTAGCATGATGCAACTGATGCTCCTTATTGTGGAGTATCCTCATTGTGAGGATGGCTCAGGAAGAGCAGGGTTTCTTTCTATCGTACACAGGGTTGCTATGAGTCAGGTAAACTGATAGCATCCAACACCAACAATGTGCTCTCAAGCTAAGTGCTAGAAATAAAACTTTGTAACTGTCAAAAAAGAAACAAACAAACAAACAAACAAAAACTTTGTAACTGCAACACTTTTCAGTATCCAGAAATGACAGTAATTTTTTCTAAATATTTTTGGTGCCAAATAGTTGACCCAAAGGTGTGTAACATGATAATTTTGCCTGTGCCTTCCCTTGAGGCTATATGAGGTTAACTGTTGTGTGTAGGGATGCTTCCCAATTAACCAATATAAAAGAATCTGATTTAGGATGGGAGCTGGCTGCGTACAAGTTATGCATAGAAATGATTTCACCTATTTTTCACATTATATCTAAGTTTGTCATTGTCAGAATGAAACCTCTACTGTTGATTAGCTAGGACACCTTTATTGGTTATAAAGCAGTGATTGCCCTACTACCACTCCTTGCTGTCTCCCTTTCTCCAGCTAGGTGTCTCAGATGAAAAGAGTTGAGTAAAAATGTCTTCATTATATTATTTTAACTGCAAGCGAAAAATTAACAATCCCTGTAATATATTTGTCGTTCCTCCAAAGGATATGCTTTTAACTTGCAATCACTCCACACAATTCATACCTCTCCTTCACCCTTTGTAGGAAGATTTCCCTTGGGGCTTCAAAGAGCCAAAGTCACAAGATTCTTAGCCTCTTCTGGCTGTTGCTGCTGGAGATTGTAATCTATACCCAGCCCCCGGGGGGGTGTCCTTTTGGGGTTTGTTTTGTTTTTCTCTGTTTGCATGTAAGACTAATGGAAGAAATAGAGGGAAGGTGTCAAAAGCAGGCTACACAGCTTTGAGAACCTCATTGCAAGCAGTTGTTTTTAAATTGCTGCTGTGTTGGGGTGGGAGAGTATGAAGTTATTAACCATGGAGCTTGATGGATGACACAAAGTGCTAGAATTATGTTCAAATAATCTACTTAATTTCACTTATTGCCAAAATGCTAATTGGAAGTAGGGTCAAAATAGGTAGAAAGGCAGTAATTAATATGCCTCAGCTGTCAATTAGGCACTTATCTGACAAAAACACAAAGAAACAGAAAAGGCAAAGTAAATGTTAAGGATTTTGTTGTTGTTATGTTATGTGCTGTCAAGTCAGAACCGACCCACAGCTTACCCTTCGGGGGGTTTTCAGAGGCAGTTAATCACGTGGGAGATGATTGTTCATTATTTCTGATTAACAAATAGCTTCAGACATTTCCCATAGCAGTGATACCTTTTCAGGGAGGGGGGCGGAAAATCATATCTTGTCCTAAAAATCACTATTTCATATGGAAGGAAACCTCTGGTGGCATAGCCGGTAGGTAGCGTCTTGCACTGCTAAGACAAAAGGGGCCTTCTTTGGCAATCCAAACTCACCTGGAGTTCTTTTTGGCTTTGTGGTAAAGCGTTCATCTAAAGGCATGTTGTTGGACTCCACCAGCTTCTCCATAGAAGAAAGATGGACAATCTCCTCTTAGGCAGAAATCCACTGGAGGGTCATTTGTGAGACAATTTCAGCTCCACTGTAATGAGTTAGTTTTTTTGAAGTTGGAAAAGAAGTTGGAGCAGAGTAAAGGGAATTGTACATCTGCTTGATAAAGTTTCACTTGTGGTTTTATAAGAGCACTTCTAGTTTCTTACAAAGTAGCCATTGAGGGTTTAATTAGCACAATAACAAATTGAACAGAATCACGATGCTCATTCAAAATGGATACTTGGTGTTTAAATTCTTTGTGAAATCATGGAAAATTTAAACAGGGTGGTGGAATTACTGGAAATTTCTTTTATTATTTAGCTCTGTAAGGTACCCAATGAAACCTAGTCTTTCCTTGGAGGCTAGGTTTTTGAAGCTCTGTCTTAGATACTTTGGGCATGTTGTAAGGAGAGACCAGTCCTTGGAGAAGGATATCATACTCAGAAGGGTGGGCGGACATTGACACAGTAACTGAGGTAATGAGGTTTGGTGTGTCAGAATTAGAGAGATCGGCTCAGGACAGGGAAGGGTTCAGAGCTTCTGTATATCATAGGTGACTCAATGGCATACAACAACAACAACATACTATATTGTTTGTTTTTTATTTAAGCCTCTTGTTTAGAGTCAACAAGAACTTGGGAAAGTCTTTTGTATTTAAAGGTGGTTGTTATTATATTCTGGAGGAACATTCTTCTAAGTGGTACAGCACTCATCCGTCAATATGCTGTAGTGAAGTAACCTGGAGTTGCTGTGAAGCTGAACCTTGTGCCACCAGGGTGTCAAATGTCATAACAGTTACCCAGGGTGGACAGTGTTTGGAGGAGCTCCCAGTTTAAGACAGGTTTGGAAGCAGAAGTGGCATCCACTTCTTAAACAACATGACTCTAGAAACTCTATGAACTTTGAGAAATGACGATAGTTATAGAAAGACTTCAGGCCTTTTGTTCATAGAGTCACTATGAATTGTGCTTGACTGGACGGCAATAAACAACAACCAATAGCAAGATACTTTAACATAATTTAAAAAACCTCATACATATCAAATATTCTAAAATAAAATATGTAATTTTATTTATGGCATAATCCTTAAAGAGCTGCACTGTAACCCAAAAGCTGTGCTGCTTTGCCAGTTTGAATCTGTAGCAACTCCATAATAGAAAGACAGACATCTCCTTGTACATGATTTACAGATGCGGAAACCCACTATTGTTGTTGAGTACCACTGAGTCAGAGTCGATCCATAGCTGACTCTCTAGCGGGATTTCAAGGGCAGTAAATTGCATGAGAGGAGATTGCCTATTTTTCTCCCATGGGGCAGCTGGTTGATTTGAACTGTGAACCTTTGGGTTGGTAGCACGATATTTTTACCACTATGACAACAGATTTCCAAGCAGAAACGAGTTAACTCTAATCAAGTGGCAATGAAAATGAGATATTTTAAGAAAATAAAATTTATTGTATACAAGTAAATTTTTGTGTGAGTGTGAGAGCACGTGTGTACTTACACATCGAGCCCTAGACTACTTCATCACACATTTCTTCCTTCATGCAAACTCCCAAATCAGTGAAGTTCTTGGACATGTCATAGCAATTTATCACTCAGTTCTCTTGTATATATTTTCCCTGTATGTAAAGTCTCTTACTCTCCTTCTTTGTCTAATTAGCTGCCACAAAATTCATCTCAAGTGTTAAGCTCTGTCACCTTTTCTGGGGAGTATTCCCTATAGACCCAATCTGATGTAGATAATTCTCATGGCACCCCATGAATTTTACCATGGTTTGCACTTCCTTTCAAATTAAGAGTTTCATTCTCAGAGAGACTGTGAACAGCTACAGGAGAGAGCCATGTTTCTGAATCCCTGAGGTCGAGCAAGCACATTAAGTTCCCAGTACATTTCTGTTGAGCTAAATGGGTGGATACCCTAGAAAAGATTTGACTTTAGCATTAATCATACAGTTTTTATTTGGTCATTAGCATCTCAGAGCAGATTAAAAAAATGGAAGTGTGGATATTCCAAGAGGGAAGAGAGGGATTCTGGCAGAAGGTGTAGAGGTGAAAATAAGTTCATAATTGGGCATTCACAAGTCATCTTCTGTGTATTTGCCAGAGTAGAATTCTCATTGCCAATTGTTGTGTATCATCAAATTGGAACCAACTCATAGGAGACCCTCTGGTGGGTTTTCAGAGGCAATTTATCACAGGAGAGGAGACTGGTCATCCTTCTCCTGCAGAGCAGCTGGTGAATTATCATTGTCAATACGAATTGCTTTTTGCTGAGCTGTATAACATTGATTATTTTATTTTTAAGTCCCACACAAGAGATTTTATGCAAAAGCTCATTTATTGGTTAGTAAATTCCTTTCACTATGCACCTGCAAATAATTCTTACATATTTTTGATGCCTCTATTTTTGGAATTTGACACACTTGAGAATCTTCATGGGAGTGCCTCTATAGATGGATATTGGCATTGGGGGAGTGCAGAGTTGTAAAGATGATATTCTGGTGACTTCTAGATCAAACCAAAATGAAAATTCTCCATAAGCGGTCTTTTACATGTGGCATGAGGCTTTCAAAGTCCCATGATACACTTTCTCAACAACTATCTAATCAGTATCTTGTTTTCCACAAAGTGGACCTTATTGTTGTTGTTGTTATGTGCCATTGAGTCACTTGTGACTCATAGTAACCCTATGTAGAACAGCCCTAAACTCTGCTCTGTCCTGTGCCAATCGCACTGTCTCTGATACATGCATACCGATTACCCCAGTCACTGAATCAATCCACCTCATAGAGAGTCTTCCCCTCCTGCGCTGTCCCTCCACCCTCCCAAGCATGATGTCCTTCTTCAAGGACCGGTCTCTCCTTACAACATGGCCAAAATATGTCGGATGGTGCCTCAGAATCTTTGCCTCCAAGGACCAGCTTGGTTGAACCCTCTCCAGGATGAATCTGTTTGTCTTCTTGGCAGTCCATGGTACGTTCAATACTCTTTTCCAGCACCACAGCTCAAAGGCATCAATTCTCCTTCTATCCCCCCTAGTCATTGTCCAACTCTCTGATGCATAACAAGTGATTGCAAAGACCATGTCCTGTATCAGATGCACCTTAGTCTCCAGAGAGACACCATTGCTCTTCAGTATCCTGGAGAGGTCACTAACAGCAGACTTTTCCATCATAATATGGGAATGATAATCTTATGGTTAAGATTTGACTGCTAAATACTAGTGAATATCATTCTGATCACCTGGCTACTCTTCCACGAAGATCTCCAACGCCTTGAAGGTGCTTGGCATTTAGTTCTTGGACAGCAAAATTAGTTCCAGTGGCCACCTGGTCTCGAACTCTTACTTGATTTTCTAAAACCTATAATTGTGAAATAAAAATGCTGTTAATATCCCATTATACATAACAAGAAAATCTCATATTAAGCAGTTTTAGAAAACAAATCTAATGCCTGTTAAGTTAAGACCATAAGTGTATGAGATTGTCCTAGCTCTGAGTTGAGGTTAGAAAAAACGATGGTCTCCTCTAACAGATGTCAGGTGGAAACTATATTGTCATTTCCCTGGTCCAGCTTTTATGTGACATCTCCTAATTTTAAAATATTAAATGCTGGAGAAGAGTATTGAATATACCATGGGCTGCTGAAAAATGAACAGGTTTATCCTGGAGAAGGTTAAACTAGGCTGGTCCTTGGAGGCAAGGATTCTGAGACTTCGTCTGACATATTTTGGACATGCTGCAAGGAAGGATCAGTCCCTGGAGAAGGATGTCATGCTTGGGAGGGTAGAAGGACGGAGCAGGAGGGGAAGGCCCTCTATGATGTGGATTGATTTAGTGACTGGAGTAAGGGGCATAGGTTTGTTGGAGACAATGAGATTGGCACAGGACAGAGCAGGGTTTAGGACTGTTGTTCATAGGGTCGCTATGAGTCACAAGAGACTTGACGGCACATAACAACAACAAATATAAATGGGTGTGTCGAAGACAATAAGATTGGCAAGGGATAGAGCAGGGTTTAGGGCTATTGTATATAGGATAGCTATGTGTTGCAGGTGACTCGACAGCAGGTAACAACAAACCTTTATGAACACTGTATAAGTAAAACATAAAACATATAGATACAAAATGGCAATGGGTTGCCATTTGGGCATAATTTCTTAAAATCTTTTCACAAAAACTATTCCATACATGGTGATAAATTTTTTTTTAATGTGACATCAAGCTTTTCAGGATTGAATCTGGACAACAGGGAAGCAAATGTAATGAATAACAAATGTGTATCAAGTTGTTTCACATATGGTTCTAAAAGAATTTTATTCTAAATTTCTTAAAGAACATGAGCTATTTATGGTTAGGATATGTTAAAATTTTTATCTTTGTGTGTCTTTAATAATGCCTTTATTCTATTTTAGAATTTCAGAAATAAAACTGATTTTGCCATGCCAGTTTAGTGGACCTGAGAATAGCGGTTTTAAATATTTTTTTCACCTGTTGTTGTTATGTGTCATTGAATTACCTGTGACTTATAACAACCCTATGTGTAATAGCTCCGAACTCTGCTTATTCTGATCCAATTTTACTGTCTACCCCAATTACTCTAGATACTGTGTCAATCCATCTCATTCAGGCTCCAAGTCTGTCCCCTCTACCCTTCCAAGCCTGATGTTCTTCTCCAAGGACTGGCCTTTCCTGGCAACATGCCCAAGGTATGTGAGATGGAGTTTCAAGGAGCAGCTTGATTTCACTTTCTCCAGGGCAGAATTACAACTCAGTCATTGATTATTCTTTTATCATTCTTCATTGTTCAGCTCTCTGATGCTTAGCAAGTAATTGTGAAGACCATAGCCTGAATCAGGTGCACCTTGTTCTCCAGACTGACACTGTTGCTCTTAGTCACTCTAGAAAGATCCCTGACAGCAAATTTTCCTAGTACAATTCAATTTTTGATTTCCTGATTTCTGGTGCCAGGCAAGCTGAAATTGTTAACAATCTCAATCTCTTCTCCAGCTATGATGGTGCTGCCAACTGGCCCATTGGTGAAACTCTTTGTTTTCTTGATGTTGAGCTTCACCATATTGAAGGCTGCAGTCCTTGACCTTCTACAGGAAATGCCTCAGGTCCTCCTCAGCTTCAGCAAGCAAGTTTGTATCATCTGCATAATGCAGATTGTTGATAAAATCTTCCTCCAATCCTGATGCCACATTCCTTCTCATAAAGTTCAGCTTCTCAAATGATCTGTTTTGCATATAGATTGAAAAGGAATGGAGATAGGATGCATCCTTGATGAACACTTTTCATGATTTTGAACCATACAGTCTTCCCTTGCTGTCTGATGACTGCTTCATGGTGCAAGTATAGGTTTTGCATGAGCACAATTAAGTGCTATGGGATTCCTATTCTTCTCAGACTTAGCCACAATTTGTTGTGATCCACACAGTCAAATGCCATTGTATAGTCAATGAAATGGATAGACATTCTTCTGGTACTCTCTGCTTTAGGCTAAGATCCATCTAATGTTGGCTAAAATGTTCCTTGTGCCAAGACCTCTTCTAAACCCAGCTTTCACATCTGGCAGTTCTCTGTTGATGTGCTTGTTCCAATCATTTTTTGTTATCTTCAGCAGAATCTTGCTTGAGTGTGATATGAGTGATACAGTTCTATAATTTTGATCTCTTCCAGTCAGTTGACTAGGTAGTATCTACCTGGTACCTATATGTAAGTTTTTGTACCTCCATGTAAGTATTTGCTTAAAAATAGAAATAATTCCATTTCTCTAATGAGAAAATATGTGCCTTACTTGAAAGTTACACAAGTTCTATTATAACATGTATAGAGAAATTGGGAATAGTTTACATAAATTAACAATAACGTACTATGACAGGTTTGGAAACAGGAGTAGCATCCGCTTCCTAAACAACATGCCTCTGGAAACCGTATGAACTTTGATAAATGTCAATAGTTGTAGAGGGGCTTCAGGCCTTTTGTTCATAGCGTTGTTATGAGTCATGCTCGACTCAAAGGCAATTAACAACAACAACAATTTGCATTTACTCTGAAATAAGTAAGAGTGTAGACCTTTGGAAATTAGAAACACATTTATGATTTTACGAAACATTGAAGTTTAGTAATTTAATTTCAACAATACCTAAACTAAGTTTAAGCTTATGTTTATGAATTTCATTACTAGTTGGAGGATTTTTGTAGTAAATCAATTACAGAAATTCTTTTTAGTGGCGAGTTGCACTGCCAACCAAAATCGCATAGTTTGTATCCACAAGGAAAGAAGGAAGAACAATCTCCTTTCATGGGATTAACTGCCTCTGAAACCCACTGGAGGCTCAGCTATGAGTTGCTTCTGACTTGACAATACAGAACAACAACAGCAACAACAACAGGAGTAGCAATATTTAGCTAAAAAAGATAATTGTACAATCACACAATGGAGTATCATTAGACTTCACTAAAACAATGATCAAGAATTTGTGAAATACTGTACAAGATTGAATTGAGAGCAAATTATGTTAAGCAATACAAATCAGTCACAAAAAGACAATTATAGTGTAAAATTACTATTGTAAATAAACTAAGAAAAGTCTTATAAACAGAATAAATCCTAGAGCAAAGAGAAATAAAAAGTAGTAGATAAGTTGGGTGAAGGGAGAAGCCATATACAATTAGATATTCATGAGACATTGTAATTAATTAACTTCGTTAATCAATAATATTTAATGATATACATGATTGTGTGAAAAATCTGTAAGATTTCAAAACCTTCACTCCAATAAAGAAATTAATTTGTCAAAAAAGAAATGAATTTATTAAAAAGATTCTATTAAAAATCTTTCCCATTTGTACACTAGCAGATTGAAACAATCTGAAAGAAAGCCTTAAAGACATACAAGTGTGAAAAACACTAGCTGAAGTTGGGCTCCCCGCCCCCCAATTATAGAGAGAACTGATAAAACGAAACTTTCCCCAACTAGATACTAAAATATTTCATGAAACAAGAATAGATTAAATCATGTGATGCTCGGCATTTTGCCATGTGGATAAACAAAACATAATGAGGGTCCTCAGTCAATTTTAGGCACAAACATGCTACACGTGAGGCTCGCACACCACCGAGGGGAGAATTTCACAAATCATACTGAGATCTTTATTTACTCATCAACAATGAAGTTAGAGCCTTGTCTCATGTCATACATTAAAATAAACACCATAAAAAAGTAGATTACAACATAAATTAAACATTAAATCATAAAATAGAAATCAAGCACATTCCATCTCTAGATGAAGAACTTTCCAATATTTAAAGCAGCGGGCGGTGAAACTTTATAAAAAATATACAAAAAGCAATATAAGTACAATTAAGACATAAAAACAAACTGAGAAAAACATTAAAGGCTTCAGTGATGTGCTAGAACCAGCATGTACCTGCTTATGCAAGTTAATCATCTGTATCCCTTCCATTGTTCCATTTTCATCTTCAGAGACATTATTTTGGATGTTTGAAATAAGCCCTAGTCTGAGTAATTACACCACTCTGCCTCCAGGGGCATTGATTGTCAAACCAAATGAAATCAAATTCTTGACAACTTCAATATTTTCTCAATTTATCATGATATTGCTTAATGGCCCAGTTATGAGGAATTTTGTTTTCTATATGTTAAGGTTGTGGTTTCTATATGTTAATGTGGTTTTCTATATAATAAGGTGGTGGCTGTAATGCTAATCACTGTGGCGATAACCCATGGTGGACAGTATGGAACTACCAGATTAAAACAGGCTTGAAAGCAGGAATGGCATCCACTTCCGAAATAGCATGTCTCTGGAAACTCTATGAACTCAGAGACATGATGAAAGTTAAACAAGTGTTTAGATCTTTCATTCACAGGGTCACAATGAGTCATTGATGACGGGATGACATGTAACAGCAACCTATGTTAAGGTATAAGCCACACTGAAAGTTATAGTCTTTGATCTTCTTCAAGTCAGGTACATTTTCATCAAGGAACTTTTATCATGATATTGTTTGTATTTGTTTCCTTCACATTGAGGTGTAATTCATAATGAAGGGCTTTGATTTTATTGAAATAATCTTTACTTTCAGCAAGAAAAATTGTGTTATTTGCAAATTTGTAGGTTGTTAATGAAACTTTCTGCAATCCTGAAACTGTATTCTTCTTAATACAGTATAGTTTCTTGGATTATTAGCCTCCACCAGACTGAAGAAATACAGTGAAAGAATAACAGCCTTGATTCACATCTTTCTGAGCTTAAAGCTTGTAGTATTCCATTTTTAAGTTCAAAATATTGTTTCAAGTATAAATCCCACATGAGCATAATAATGTCCCTAGTCTTTATATTGTTAAACATATTTTTATGATACTCATAGTCAAATGGCTTTCTATAGTTAATGAAACACAAATATCTTTCTCGTATTCCTGTTTCAGTAAAGATCCATTTGACATGTCAATGTCAAACTGTGAATTATCAAATGTCTCATTCCCTGCATCTTCTGAACCTAATTTCTGTCACTTCTTGTTCAATAGCTGCAACTATTGTTAAAAAATATTTTATTAACTGGATTGTTTGACTTCTACATTTGTTTGGGTCACCTTTCTTGGAAATGGGCAACAAATATAGATCTCTTCTACTTGGTTAGTTAAATAGTTGTCTTCAAAGGTCTTGGCATAAATAAACAAATGCTTCCACCATTACATTCGTTTGTTGAAGCATAACAACTGGTATTCCACCCATTCTTGGCTCTTGTTTATGCTAGTGCCTTCAGTGCAACTTGAACTTCTTCCTTTAATACCAAAGTTTTTGATCCTGTGTTACCTCCTTAAATGACTGAACAAGAACCAACTCTTTTTGGCACAGTGACACTATATTCTTTTCATCTTCTCCTGATGCTTCTTGCTTCTCTGAGTTTTTTTGCCCATAGAATCAATCCTTCAAGATTGCAATTCAAGGTTTGATCCTGCCCCTACAGTTCTTACATCTTGAGGAATACTGAATTGTCCATCTCTTTTGGTTTTCTATATCTGTGTATTTGTAAAATTCATTATAAAGCTTTGTTTTGTCTTTTTGAGCCACTTTTGAAATCTTCTATTAACTTATTTTACTTCATAATTTCTTTTGTTTTGCTCAATACCAGCAGTGAAATCCACCGTGTGTGTGTGTGTGTTGGGGGGCGGGGAGCTGTGAAAGATAAGTCCTGCCAAGAGAAATACAAAAGTCAAAGACCTTGAATGAGAGCATGTTTGGTATATTTTAGAAACAGCCAACAACTAATGTATCTAGAGTCAAGGAATTAACGATGAGTGATTGTGTCAGAAGGATTGCATTGGTTTGGTTAAGATGTGACAGCTGAATCCAAATTTCCAAAGCATCATGAAAATTTCCTACTGAAATGATTAAGCTAATACAATCTTTGCTATTTAGACTAAAACAAAAATTTAATCACAATGTCTGGGATAATGTTAAAGACTTGTTTTGATTTTACAAAATAAATATACAGTAAATGTTCGTTGAGTATAAATGAGCAGTTGAAAAACTGAACCATTGTCCTCTGGGACAACTAAATTATAATCATTTAAGATTAAATAATAGCTACACATTTCTGTGCTGAAAAAATGACACTGGTGGTTGATAGTTTTTGTCAAGCAGCGATGATGATATATGAGAAATAGATAAATACCTCAATATTTTGGTTGAGTTTTTTTACTATGCTGGTGATGGTATGGATGTGACATTCTAGTAATTTCCTGGCATGTGACTCCTCTTTCTGAAAGCCATGTGTCCCCTGCAGACATGCAGAGAGGTCCTCCTTGATGCGGAAGGCTTGTTCTAGGAGGAAGGCAATGGTGCGCTCCTGCTTGGTTAGTCTGTCTTCTAGCTCACTTCTCTGGGTGTTTTGAATGGCAGGAAGGAATGAATGACCCCTGTCAAAAAAGGGAAACAGCATCAACTAAATATTACACGATGAAATTAGAAAATTCACGAATCAGAATTAACATTGTCTTCTTTCTCTTCTCTGAGAAATTAATTAGGATTTTAAGCATTTATGGAGCTAAATTTATGGATTAAATTTCACCTAAAAACAGATCAGATTTATATCTTAATCTTGTGTTATGTATTTTTCATGTTTCCCAAGTAGGAATTGCTCTCTATTTTTAAGTCAGATTAGTGAAGGTAGAAAAAAGCGGATTCATGTAGGATAGTATTAGACCCTCTCCATTTTTATACCTTTATTATATCCTTGTATAGATAACATTAGTCCAGAAGCATCTCAATTTCTCTATCTGTGAAAATGCAAAAGTAGCTAAATTATAGAATCCATCATGTACGTAGTGTCACTATGAGTTGCGAGTGACTCAATGGCACCTATCAACAACGTCTAATAAAATAAACCACCACAAAACAATGCTATGGTCAAATAAACTTGGGCAACATTTCATACAATCTGCCACTCTTGGTGACTCATACTGATTATTAACATGTTAAAGTCCAATAATATTTTGCTAATGCTACAGATGAGCAAATTAGTTTGTAGGATTGTTAAATACCTGATCCAAGGATGGAGGGTCAGTTATGAGTAGAATTCCAATTTTTTTAGGTCACTCTAAGTTTATGGGCTACCACATTTCATTCCATTTATTACCCATAAAATACAGGTTACTTATTAAGGCTTTGTTACATTGATTTCTGACCTCATGCAGAGATATTTTTTTTCTATTTAAGTGAGCGTGAGGATATTCATCTCTGTCAGTAGATAGAGTTAGAAGTCTTAAATTTTCCTTGAAAGCTATAGAGTTTCTTTTTCCCCTCCTTTTGTTTTCACACCAAAATGTATCCCTGGACCAAACATCCTTAGACTGCTACAAGAGCACAGAAGACAGGGATAGATAAGAAACAGCTTTATTTTGAGCAAGGGGAAAGACAACACAGCACTTTGATGATTTCCTTTTATATCATGAATGGGAAGCAAATTAGGAAATCTCTATGGTATTTCTAATACTGATGGTCTAGTGGTAAGAAGCTGTGCTGCAATCTCTAAGATACATTGTTATTGTTCTAATCCACCAGCTGAAAAAGGATGGGCAATTTCCTCCCCTGCTATTTCTCACCTCTGAAAACCTGCTGGAGAGTCAGCTATGTGTTGGTTCCAACTCAATGATACACAACAACAACAACAGCAACAACATTAATTATGCTGAGATTGGAATATATATTTTTAAAATTAAAACATGGAAACATTTGCTAAAGTACAATTGTAATTTTACTATTCCATTTTAGTACTATTACTTTCAAGCTTTTGTGAGCCAGGTTACAGAAAGTACTAGGAATACTGGCTCATATTAAGGGTAAGGAACATTGATTTAACATTATTGCAATTATGTGCATTATTTGCTCTATAAAAAGATATCAAATTATCAGAGAAACAAATTGAAACAAGCAAACAAAAAAACACTGTAGGGGTTTAATCAGATTCAGTCTTTAAAACCAAAGCCATTCTCACTGAGTTGGTTCTGACTCATGGTGGCCCAAGGCTAGTGTAGAACTGCTTCAAAGGACAGCCAAGGCTATAAACAATTATGCAAAGAGATGGCCATGCCTTTTCCCCCGTAAAGCAGCTGTACCCATAGACTTTTGGTTGGCAGCCATGTGATTAAGTACTATGTCTGAGATTCATGACTACCGAACATTAATCTGGGTTTTCAATCTCTGACTCAGAATCCCTCATAATCATTGCAAAATGGACAAGGGCTATGTGAGGACAGCCATATCTGACCTTTACCAAAGGAGAACTGTCCCAGTCACAACACAAACCAATTCCTATGAGGTCACACATGTGTCCCCCCTCCCGCCATGCTACCACACCTATCTTCACTGGATCCAAAATCCAGTATGTTCACTCACAGATCACACAGAACCATATTAGAGAAGTCATAAGGTATGACTCATAGAGAACCTATGATCAAAAGATCTGAACCTAGTCTTGTCCTGCTCCATCTTCACACTTCCTGACACACAAGAGCCCACTGCAGCAGTCACCTTGTCAGTCCACCTGGTTGAGGGTCTTCCTCTCCTTCGCCAACTCTCAACCCTTCAACATCATATCCCCCTCCAAGGAATAGCACCTCCTAGCAATAAGTCCAAAGTATGTGAGGTGAAACCTCATCATTCTTGCTTCCAAAGAGCACTCTGGCAGCACCCTCTCCAAAACATATCTGCTCGTTCTCAGTGCTCTTCTCCAACACCATAGCTCAAAGCTGTAAATTCTTTTGTTCTGTCATCTATATTCATTGTCCAGGTCTTCTATGCATAGCTAGTAATTAGAAAGACCATGGCCTGAATTAGACACACCTTGGTTCTCAAACTGACATCACTACTCCTCAACAATTTGGAAAGGTCCCTAACTGCAGATTTTCTCAGTGCAATATATCTTATTTCCTGGCTGTTTGTACCAAAGGTGTTAAGTTCAGATACAAGCAAGATGAAGCTGTTGACAGTTTCAATCTTCTCCCCATCCATCATGACACTCCCTACTGGTCTAGCAATAAGAATCTTTGTTTTCTTGATATCGAGATGCAATCCATACTGAAGGTTGCATTCTTTAATCTTCTGCAACAAGTGCTTCAACTCCTCCTCACATTCAGCAAGTATGGTTGTGTCATCTGCATAACACAGGTTATTGATAAGTCTTCTTCTAATCCTGATGCCACGTTCCTTTTTGTAGGGTCCAGCTTCTAGGATATTTTGCTCAGTATAAAGACTAGTATGGAGATAGAATACAACCCTGATGCACTCCTTTCCCAATTCCAAGCCATGCAGTCCTCCCCTGCTCTGTTTGCACAAAAGCCTCCTGATCTAGGTATAGGTTCCTCATGAGCACAATCAAATGTTCCGTGATTCCCATTCTTCTCAATGTCAGCCAAAACTTGTCATGATCCAAACAGTTAAACACCTTGGCATAGTCAATACAGCACAAATAGACATACTTCTGGTATTCTTACTTTCAGCCAGGATCCATCTGACATCAGCAATGATATCCCTGGTGCCACAGCTTCTTCTAAATCTTGCTCGAACTTTTGGTAATTCCCTATCTATGTACTATTCCAGCTGTTTTTTTTCCAGCTGTTTTTTTTAAATGATCTTCAAGAGTATTTTGCTAGCATGTGATATCAATGATATTGTTTGATAATTTCTACATTCAATTGGATCACCTTCTTCAAAATAGGAACAAATTGCATCTCTTCCAATCCATTGGCCAGACAGTCATCCTCCAAATTTCCTGGCATAAGCTGGTGAGTGCACCCAAGGCTGCATCTGTTAATTGAAACAAGTCAATTGGTATCCTATCAATACCTGAGGCCTTATTTTTTTGCCAATGCCTCCAGTGAAGTTTACACTTCCTCTTTTATTACCATTGGCTCTTGTTCATATGGTACTTTATGAAATTTTTCAGTGTCAATTATTTCTTTCTGGTACAGTGACTCTGTGTATTCCCTCCATCTCCTTTTGATGCTTTCTGGGTCATTAATTCAATTTCACATTCTATCCTGAAATAAAATGTTGTGAGTGATAGGCTAATATCCATATACATACAAGGAAAACTCGTTAATGCAACTGTTATTCAAGTATATGCTCCTACATCTAGAGCCAAAGAGGGAGAAATTGAGAATTTTTACCAAATTTTGCAGTCTGAAATTGATTGAACATGCAATCAGGATGCATTAATGATAATTGGTGACTGGAATGTAATTCAGGATAGCAACCCTATAAACAAGAGATCTGAACTCTGGCCTCTCCTGCACCATTCTTTTTGGTTTCTTTTTTTTTAATATTATGTTTTAAAAACTATGGAACACTTCGTTAATTTGCATGTCATCCTGGCACAGGGATCATGCTTCTTTATATTGTTCCAGTTTTAGTATATGTGCTGCAGAAGCGAGCACCCTGTACCACTCTTAAATATATTTTTAATAGGCTAGTTCATAGAAAGCCAAAATGAAATAGGTTTCAATCCATTCCTACCGCAGAAGCCATAGTAATGTGTAGGTCTAATAGTGAAATATGTCTTGAGAATGTCCTACAAACAGCTAATTTTAAAGTCAGATAGTGAATTATATGAATTAATTATATGAAGACCACCAGTATGAGATAGAACTGTGTTTGATTCTGTGTAACAGAAACTCAAACAGAATGGCTTAAACAAATATGATTTTGATAGGCAGTATACGATGGCACATAACAACAACAACAACATAATATGCTCTGGGATACCCATCAGTGCTCCAACAAATTCATTACTATGGAGTCAGAATTTACTCATTAATCATAGCTGACACTCCAACAAGTTTTCTGAGGTTGTAAACTACATGGGAAGAGATTGTCCATCTTTCTCCAACAGCCATTGTCTGATTCACACCTACAGAGTGGCACTACCTTTGGGTTAGGAACACAATTCCCTGTGGACTATGACATCTGAATTCCGACAAATAAAATTTATCGGCGCTCCTAACAAGTTGTGGGTGTTGTGTACTTTTGAGTTGTAGCAAGCCATAGCTGATCCTCTAGCAGGTTTTCAGGGGCAGTAAATCACATGGAAAGAGATTTCCCATCTTTTTCTCATGCAGCAGCTGGTGAAGTGAACCATGTGCCTATCTTTGGTTCAGCAGTGCAATTCCTTAACACTAAGCTACCAGAGCTCCCTATCTAACAAGAAGCCTAGATAATCAGGACTCACGTAATTTGGTAAGTAGTGCTGCCAACCCAAAGGCAGGCTGTTTGAATCTACAAGTTGCTCAGCTGGAGAAGATAAACTATCTTGTCTAGTGTCATGTACAGCCCCTGAAAAGTCACTGCAGAGTCAATTATTAGTTAATTCCATTGACAGCACATACCACCACCACCACCACTACTACTACATAATGGAAGA